TTGGGAAATTCGAACCCATCACTGTAGATTGCTGCCATGTGGTTGGGAGATGCCAAACCAGGTTGGCAAGTGTGGCCAAGTGGGTTGAGGTGGATGGCATGAGTTGGGAAAGTGACAAATGTGAGAGTGGGGTTGCCTATGGAGAAGGGAACTGTGTGGCATGGGGTTTCCTTGGTTGGGGACTCCCTTGGAACCTTCCCTCTCGTCCTCCTCTTCCCCTCCCACCTGGTTTAGTGCTACTCAAATGCTCTTGTGTGTTAACTTGTGAACTTGTGAGAACTATTGTGAGTGAGTTAAGTTTCTATGTGGCAGCATACCCCCTAGTGCGCCGAAAAGCATAACTCGAGATATACTCCATCTTTTGAGGTGATTCAAATTGGGAATTGTAGCCACGGTCTAGAGCTACAACATACTCGAGTTTGACGGAATTCTAACGGTTAGTTTTTCGTCGACGGCGTTTCTTGTGAAATCGCGGTTTCTGTCCAGAATTCTAAGCCAACGATTTTTTGGAATTTGGGCTCCTATTCTTCATAGACTCAGTCCTTAATCTCTAACTCAAGGGATGGGAAGTGCTCGAACTGACTGACAACAAGGTTGGCACGACGGTCGAGGCTATCTTCTACGAGACGATGTCTCTGGAGGTGTGGAAGGTGACGCATGGGCCAGCGTCGGCACGGACGCAAACCCACTCTCTGACGGACTCCTCGACGGCGACGTTCCCACTGCTCGCCGAGGTCGACGAGGCAGCAGACGAGGACGTCGAGGATGTCCATCCTTCTCCTCCTCCTCCTGTTCCTGCTGCGCCACCTCTTGTCGCCCACTTGCCTTGTCTGCAGGGGAGCTGACAGTGATGTGGTGGAATTCAAAGCCGACGAGCCTCCGCTGCGATGTTCTACTCATGTCAACTTTGGCAAGCCTCGCGAGAAGCTGAGCTACCATGCTTGCTTGCCCCCTACCTCCTACAGCACGTTGCTTGACGATGTGCAGGATGACGTCGACCTGCCCGAGCTCGACCCTGACGTGCACGCCGACCCAGAGCATCGGTGGGACATCACGACGATGACGGTGAAGGAGGCACTGGCGAGCTGGAAAGGCAAGGCGGTGAAGGCGGCGATGGACGAGGAGATTCGCAGCCTCATCGCCAATGGCACATGGGAGCTGGTCGAACGTCCGCGCGGGGTGAACATCATGAAGAACCGGTGGGTGATGACGACGAGGTACCACATCAATGATACGGTCGCTGGTGAGAAGGCACGTTTGGTCGTGAAGGGCTTCACACAGGTGTACGGCAACGACTACGAAGAGATGTATGCACCGGCCAGCAGCTACGTCACGCTGAGGATCTTTTTCAGCATCGTCACCGTCCACGACTTGCACCTGATGCAGCTCGACATGAAGAATGCGTTCCTGCAGAGTAAGCTAGACAGGGTGTTGTAAATGTACCAGCCAGACTACGCCGGGTGTGCAAGCCTCTACGGACTGAAGCAGTCACCACTGCTGTGGTACAGGGCCCTCGACGGAGTGCTGCTGGGCGCTGGCTGGAAGAAGAGCCAGGTCGACGAGGCCCTCTACTTCAAGGTCAGTGACGGAGGAGTGATGTGTCGGGTGCTGGTCTACGTCGACGACCTCCTCGCCGCCAGCAGCAGCCTCGCGATGCTGAAGGAGCTGAAGGAGCTGCTGGAGGCTGCCTTTGAGCTGCGCGAGATCAGCCCGGTCGAGAGGTACCTTGGGCTGGAAATCGTTCGCGACAGGTCAGCAAGGAAGCTGTGGCTGCACCAGCAGTCGTACGTCGACAAGCTGCGTAGACGTTTCATCCACGAGGAGCAAACCGGGCGCATTCCGAAGACGCCGATCTCCGTCGACGCCTATGCGGAGCTAAGATTCGATGACGAGGATGCTCAGGCGCGCGAGGAGGAGGAGTACAGGCAGAAGGTCGGCTCGCTGCAATTCGCAGTGACGACGACGAGGCCAGACATCGCGTTTGCGTGCAGCAAGCTGGGAAGCGGCCTCACGGTTAGGAGCGAAAACCATTGGCGCAAGGTCGACCGTTGTCTGCACTACCTTGCCGACACCCGTGACACCGCCCTGGAGTTTGGCGGTGGACCAGAGTCGCTGTGCTTGGTCGGCTACGTGAACGCCAACGACGCAGGCGACAAGCAGAACCAGACAAGCACGGTTGGCTATGTGTTCGTCTTCAGAGGGGTCGCAGTCTCCTGGTTGAGCCAGCGCATCAAGTGTGCAACGCTCTCCTCAACCAAGTCGGAGTACGTCGCGGCCACGGAAGCTGGCAAGGAGGCTCGTCGACTTCGCTTCCTCCTTGCAGAGTTCAAACTGTCCTTCGTGTGGACAACCAGTCGGCCATCACTGTCGCGAAAGGCTTGGATCTGAAGGACAACCTCAAGCACATGTAGCGACGTTACGCATGGCTGCAGCAGATGGCGAAGCGCGGGAAGATCGCGCTGAAGTACATCCCAACCTCTGAGCAGCCACCTGATTTCTTGACAAAGGGGCTGCACTTTCCGACCTTCAACCGGTGCTCCGTCGCGATCGGCCAAGTTTGTCTAGCAGACGTCGGCGACGGTGACGACGATGTGCAGCAGTAGGTGCCGTGCCCTTCTGCACGGCTGGTGCGGTGATCGACGTGCTGTGTGTTGTGTGCACGCCGAAGGATTTTCCCCGTGTATTATATCCCTTGGGTTCTAAGTGGATCTGGTGCGTGGTATGCCCAAGCGTGAGCGCGGCAGGGGAGTGTTAAAGGAAATTGGCCCCGCCCTCACATGGGCAAATCTGACTTTGTGGTCGGGTGTGTGGGAGGTGCAGCCGACCTTCCGCAGAGGTCGACGAAGGTGGTCGTCGACCTGCGCGGAACCACTGTGACTTCGTTGCCGAAGGAGTTCGACGAGGATGGTCGACGAAGGAGTTCGTCAACCAGCGTGGAGCAGCTGGTGCAGAGGTTCGCGGATGTTCGTCTGCGCAAGGTCGCGTCTGACCCTGCGCACCCTCAACTGCACAGGCGAATTTTGGCCAGAAATTCGAATGTGCCTTAATTTCGACCAATCAGGAGCTGACATTTGAGTATGTCGACCGAGGTGGTCGACGAAGGTCGTCAACGAAGGTCGTCGACCCGCGACGACGAAGGTCGTCGACCCACGACGGCGAAGGTCGTCAATTGGTGATGACGAAGGTCATCATCCAGCAGAGATGCCAGAAACTTCACCTGGTTGACCAAGTTACCTGCTCGACGAGGTGCGCGAAAGTGTGCAAACATCAACGAGGCTGCTGTGGCGAAGTCGACCGACGTGGCAGCACGTGGTCGACGTGGCTCGTCAGGTGCAACTGTCAGCATGTGGCTGACAAATTGCGCAATGTACTTGACAGTGCACGTCGTGCATAACTGTCTACAAGCACCTGCGAAGTAGGTGCTTGCACATGCGCTTACAATCACCTGCGGATGCAATGTTGGCAAGCCGCGTAGATGCTGCGTTGGCAAGCCGCCCGGGTGCAACGTTGGCAGGCCGCCCGTCTGCAGCGTTGGCAAGTCGCACACAAGTTGCGTTGGCGGGCCGCAGACATGCTACGTTGGCAGGTCGACGACTTTGTCGTGCTGGCAATCGACCTGCCTGAGTGCTAGCAAGCCTTGCATCAGATGTAGTGAACCTTTGCCATTGCATGCTCATTCAGAACTCTTGTATTCTCAACTTTCATAGTGAAACTGTTGCTCTTTTGTCATGTGAATGCACAAGTCCTAGAGAACACAGACAAAGCTAAGATCACTCCTATAACCAGTGCCCACCCCATAGTCTAGCTCCCACCGTTGTGGAGTTAATCTCCTCACTTGTTGCACACATGCTCTTTGGAGCGGAGGTTCATTTTTCTTTATAAGTGCTTGGTGTTGGGTATTAGTGGATATCATGTTCTATGAGATTATAGTGTACGAATTGCCAGTTTAACCAAAAATGGATGTGGGTCCTTTGTTGCGGCTGGGTGCAACAGAACGTAGCCCATATCAGGGTGCGCAGAGTTGGTCGCGTACCGTATTCCCCCGGATATAAGACCCTAGGGTCTTATGCTAAATCCCTAGAAAAAATGGGGGGGGGTCTTAACAGAGGAAAAAAAAAATTATAACACCCGGTCTTTTCATATGGCACTACCTTTCTTATGTGTTTTCAACACCTAAGCTAGTACTGAAGTTGTGGGTTTGCTTTTGGTGATCGTTTGACCAGTCAAAACGAATTCGCCCGTCACAGTAAAATTCGCCCCTCTGACGCAGCAATTTCGCCCTCTGACACAGCAATTCCGCCACCTGACGCAGCAAACTAGCCCCCTGACGCAGCAAATCAATCGCCCTGACACGGGAATTGACCCCCCGAAAGCCGAATTCGCACTATAGAATGCCTCTGTTTCGGACGAAACAAATAAAAAGTACATGGAAAACCCCCCTATAGGGGAAAAGGGGGGGTCTTATATTGATTACCCCCCAAAGGGGGGGTATAACGATAAAGTGGTTAAATAAAAGACCCTCCCCGTATTAGGTACCCGGGGGTTAAAGGTTAAAGGAGGGGGGGAAACCCCTCTGGGTGTTAACCACACCTGGCTGTCGGTCGTAACCCGCCTCCCCATTTGTTTACACTCCTCGCTGGGTCAACGAGGTTGTTCTATCCACTCCCAGATGAGCACCTGTGTAACCCCCTTCTGGGGGGCTGGCAGAACACGCCGCAGGGGGGATTTGATCCCGGGACCTCATCTTTCGGAAGTGAACCAGCTAAATAGCTGGGCCACTTCAGGATGGTATTAGGTACTCGGGGGTGTTATATTTTGGGGGGGTCTTCTATCCGGGGAAATACAGGTACATGTTTTTGCCACCCCAACGAACGTCGCCACAGGCAAACTGGGATTCGACGTTCATGGTTACTTGCAACCTGTTGCAGGTACGTCCGCTACATCGACAAAGGTTCCACGCCCTGAAAAGGTTGTGTGTGCCAAGTTGCCAACTTTGGAGAATGTTGGAGCGACAGTACCAAAAGCCCGTCTTCCTCAACACTTCCTTCACCCTTCAGACCTCTGTCTTAGACGGTTGACAGTCACGCTAACTAAGCAGGTCGCTTTTGCCATTTATCACCTGGCTTAGCAAGCATGTCCGGACGACAAGGTGACAAAACCTTGCTGCTTAGTTAGCGTGAGCTCCGTTCGTGTTATTTTCGTAAAAATAACGAATTTCTCGTATCATTTGCAGGCGGCAAGTTGAAACCCTTAAAGCAGGCTAAGGCTAAGGAAAAGGACTACGACGAGGTAAGCAGCAGTTATTATGCCACGCAGTTCATGTCATTATTTCGTGATTAGGATGATCTAGCATCCTATTGATCTTATCGCCTTTCTCGGATGTAACAGGCCGATCTCGCGTACTTGGCCAAGAAGAAAGAAGAAGAGAAGGTTAGAATATGAACTCGTTTGACGGCTTCGCTTATCTTGGCTTATGTGTCATGTAGATCTCATGAGTTTGATTCTCTTGTTTTCAGGCTTTAAAAGAGTTGAAGTCCAAGGCTGCAAAGGGGTCTATTGGAGGCGCTGGTTTGAAAAAAAGCGGAAAGTGATGGTCATTAGCTCCAGCAGTTCATATCATGCAGCAGGAACTCAAGTCACAATATGAGTTTGTTAACAACGTGGGACTTCATTTTTGTCAGAGCAACTATTGCTGCCTTCCCTAAATGTGATATGGCGCATTCTGGGAAGATGCAGGGGGCTATGTTGGATGGAAGCATTAATGGTGTGTGGAAAGCAGAATCATGTTAGATAATTTAGATTTACGCTAGTTTTACATTGCTGAAGATAAGTACTCAATGTATGGCCATTCTTTAATTTTCTCTCATGCAGGTTACTGGATCCTTATGAATGCACAAAGCAGGCCCTCCTATCATATCAGGGTAAAATTCCCTGGTTTTTTTTTGTGCATTTGTAGCGTCCCCTGGGTCCTATAGGTGGTATTATACGGTATATTGAGTTCTCTATTCCAAGATTAAAAGATAACATAAAGCCGAGCTTTTAAATACAACACAAATATCGCATCGTGCTACTGCCGCCAAGCGGGTGTTGTGTTGAGCTGCTAGGCACCACCCCTCTAGCATCAGAAGCACAGCACAACAGATGCATCAGTGACAGACCACTCGACCGCAGGGCTCTTGTTGGGCTGCCGAGCCGACTCGTGTCGCTGCCCAGGACCAAACCTGTGTGTGAGGCAACTCACAAGTCACCTCATAGATCACTCCTCCAGCGACAGCATGGCGAAGGCGTCACAGTCTCACAGAGCATGTCACCTTTCATTTGCCGTCACTTGTGTGTGAGGCTACTAAAGAACAGTCACTCCTCGAGGGAGAGCACGATGAAGGCGTCACTGAGCGACCACTGCCGCGCGGCGCTCTTGTTGGGCGGGTTCAGCACCGCCACCTCCTCGCCGCCCAGGCGGTACCCAATCACAATCTCCAGGCGCTGCCGCGCGCGCACCATCACCTCGAAGAAGCTCAGCTCCTCCCCCTCGTATAAATACAGCTCGGCTGGCCGAATGTACATCTCGTTGCCCTGATGGTGGGGGGTTTGGGTGGGAGGGGATGAGGGGTTGGATGGGGGTCTTGGTTCGACTCAGAACGCCACATTGCCTGGAAGCAGCTCAGCTCCTCGCCCTCCGGTACAAATACAGCTCGGCTGGCCTGGTTGGTGCGACGCAGGAGGGCTTTTGAGAATAGGGCTTTTGGGCGGTGACACCTCTGGTGCATGCAGGAATACAGTGGGTTGCATTGCATGCATGCACATTAAGAGGCCTGGGAGTAACGGTGAATAAAGATCAGGCATCATGACAGTACACGAACGAAACAAAGGAGGCCTGGGAGCAACGGTGAATAAAGATCAGGCAAGGAGAGGAATAATGAATGGCGGGGTGGGAAGCATACCTCTTCTGAGAAGAGCTCTTCCAGCACCCGGTTGATCTCCCGGTCCTCCGACACCTGCTCGCACATGGGTGGGTCGCATGGGTGGATCACATGGGTGGATCACATGGGTGGGGCACATGGGTGGGTCACATGGGTGGGGCACATGGGTGGGGCACATGGGTGGATCACATGGGTGGGGCACATGGGTGGGGCACATGGGTGGGGCACATGGGTGGGGCACATGGGTGGGGCACATGGGTGGGGCACATGGGTGGGGCACATGGGTGGGTCGCATTTGTGCGCACATGGTTTGAAGAGCAAATGAAGATCCAACAGGGAAGCGGAGGGCTGAGCAGGAGGATATTTGGGTTATTGCGATGAAGGTGAGCTTGTTAGTGAGAGAGCAGAGAGTCACTCATCTTAGAAACAGACAAGAGCGCGTGCAACAGTCGACGAGCAAAGGGATGTCGTAGCATGGACCGTCATGGTGAGTGAAGGCAGACACGTACCATGGCGAGGGCCATGGAGACGAGCTCATTGGAGAGCACATAGTCGCTGATCTTAGACACGGCCACCAGGGAGCGCGTGCGCGAGTCGAGAATCTCCGAGATGACAATCGACTGCTGCGACGCCTTCTGCATCTGCCGAATCCACGACCCCCCATTCCCGTTTGCGCCCCCCATTCCACCGCCGCCACTCGAACCACTCGCTCCATCCGCCCCTGATCCCGCCCCTGCCCCTGCGCCTGCCCCCGTCGCCGCTGCTCCCAAGCCGCCAGCAGCGAACGCAGCGGTGGCGGCGGCAGCGGCGGCGGCAGCGGCAGGCACGATGCGTGTGGCGCGGGGGGACCTGCGGGCAGGGGCGCCGGAGAAGCAGACCTCGTAGGGCATGCGCTTGGACTGCAGGGCGAGCGGGGGAGGGGGGGAGAGGGGGAGGGTGAGAGGGGCGGGTTGGAGGGTGTGAGGAGGGGGAGGGGGGATTCTGAGGCGCTAGAGAGAGAGGGGGGGGGGGGGGCGGGGGGAAGAAGGGCGTGCGGAGAGCGGGGATGTGATTGAGGGAGGAGGTTGACGTGCAGTGCAGCGGCAAGACATCACCTGGATGTCGCGGATGAGCAGCAGCGTGGCGAGCGAGCGCGAGTCCGAGTTGATCACCGAGTCCTCCACGCCCTCGTCCGCTAAAATCAGGATCTGATTCGATTGGCCGGGAGAGAGCAGGAGAAGAGAACCCAGAGAAGAGAAGAGTTTCTTTCACTCGAGCCCCCTCATGACGGTTTCTAGGTCACTAGGTAGGAACCGAATCATTAGACTCACCAACCTTCGAATGTTTGTACTATGGCCTATATCAATGAAGGACCATTCGAGAAGAGATAGGGGAGAGAGGGGAGAGAGAAGGGAACAGTAGCACTTGAGAGGGAGTGTGAGTGAGCGTTGATCACCAAGTCCTCCTCTCCTCCCTCTCATCCGCCAGAATGAGGACTTGTGAGGGGATCTGGGAGAGCGGAGAGAGGAGCGGGTAAAACAAACAGTAGAGGTAGAGAGTCATTGGGGGAATCCAGCAAGTGTCAGGCCACTCCACTTGTATTCTTACGAATGACCCCAATATAGCGGAAAGGCTCACCAAGCCGATTTTCAAAATCGACTCTTCTCAGACCCACCGAGTCAAAGGTCTCGAGGGGGAGGCTCACCGAGTCAAAGGTCTCGAGGGGGAGGCTCTCGAGGTGGCGGCGGATGACAGCGTTGCCGACGCGGTGCACGAGCGCCACGTTCTCCAGATCGCCCGGGTTGAGCCCGCCCTCCATCAGCCGCTCCTCCCTCTCCTCCACCGGCACCTCACAGAATATCCACAGCTCCGACCCCCGCGCTAGGAAGGCCTCCAGCACCTGGTGTGGGGGGAGGCAAAGAGAGAGGGGCATGGGGTTAGTAAGGCCGCGAGCACCTGGTGTGGTGTGGGTGGAGAGGGGTTGAGAGCAACAAGGGAGGCTAACGATACGACACGACACGAGAGAGCACAGTGGAAATGGACATGGAAACTTCCACGTATGACTCGACAGTGCGCCATGAGCCATGACACATTGACACGGCATGGCATGCTGCACCCGCCCTCACATGGCTGTCGCATTCTATATGACAGTATCCCATGCCCGCACCACAATCATGCCCGTACCACAATCATGCGCGTACCACAATCATGCCCGTACCACAATCATGCGCGTACCACAATCATGCCCGTACCACAATCATGCCCGTACCACAATCATGCCCGTACCACAATCATGCCCGTACCACAATCATGCCCGTACCACAATCATGCCCGTACCACAATCATGCGCGTACCACAATCATGTCGTCAATGTCGCGCCGCCATCCGCAGAAGAGAATCTTTTCGGGCAGCTTGGGCGGCACAACGACGTCGGGCAGCATGGCATGGCGCACGTGGGGCAGCGGGCCGGGCGCATACGAGTCATCATCCTCCGCCACCACCAACACTGCATCGTCGGGCTGACGGAGTCACGGAGGTGAGAGAGGAGTAAGATCACAGATGACATGGCAGTTAGCTTCTGACACACCCACAGGCCGGACTGGGTGCATACAAGTATTCATGCGACCCGCCCATGCGAGAAAGACACACCGGGCGGTGGCACGGATGGAGCACCTTACAAAGAGTGGCGGTGGCGGTGGCGGCGGGGAAGAGGACATGCGTTGGAATCATGTGCAGCCCAATCATGTGCAAAAAAAAAAGGCATGTAATGGTCTGCAAAAGTGCAGCCCCCCTTTTCCCGACCCACATGCAGCACCCACATGCAGCACCCACATGCAGCACCCACATGCAGCACCCACATGCAGCACCCACATGCAGCACCCACATGCAGCACGTAGTCGTCATCCGGGTTGAGCCAGATCCTCCCTCCATCCCCAGCAATCCGCACACCGCAGGGCACGGCATCGGGGAAGGAGATGAGGACGTGGCTGAAGGGCTTGCCGGCCAGCTGCGGCCAGTGCTTGACGTAGAACTCGCAGTTGTCAAACCCCAGCAGCGCCTCCCATATCTGCGCCAGCCCTGGCTGCCGCGCACACTGGATCATCAGCCGCCCGATCACGTCGTGCGCTACCACTGTTTCCACCTGCTGCCCGCCCACCATCTGCGAGAGGGGAGGCAGGAGCGAGGAGCGGACAGCAGGGGGGGACGTGGGGAAGAGAGGGGGCCGGGGGTTGACCATTTTCAGCCCCAGCTGCCGCGCGCACTGCACTGGATCATCAGCTCAGCCGCCCTATCACGTCACGTCGTGTGCTACCACCATCTCCTCCTGCTGCCCGCTCCGCCCACCATCTGTGAGGTTGGAAGAGATCGGGGGAGGGCGGCAGTGGGGGAAGGGGTGGGGAGGGAGCAGCGAGGTGGAAAGAGGAAGGGGTGGGGAGAGGGCAGCGGATGGGGGGAAGAGGTACGAAGCAGCACCAAACCCATGCTACCAAGTTACCATGCGATTGCCTCACGTCTGCGTTGGGATGGGAAAGACGCGTCCTGCGTCTGGACACTAGCGTTTAGACACAGGACGCTCACTTGTGAGTTTCCAAGATGGTAAAAAGACGCAGGGCCGGGCAGGGTAAAACAATGTCCGGACAGGCAAAACAACCTCTAGGAGGGGGGGAGAGGGGGTTTCGGGACATTGCAACCACATTGAACATGGATTATCCCAAACACCAAAATTCTTCACACATAGTTAAACCGAGATTAGGGTTTTCGAGAGACAATTAGGTCGACTAGAAGAGAAAGCTCTGAATGTCGACCTGCTTCTCTCCTTACATTGGGTTCAGGTCGACAAGGTTGGGGGGGTGGGGGTGAGGGGGGGGAAATGCAGTGCGGTGATGTGTGGTTGGGGGGAAAATGGTTTGCTAGCGATTTAGCGATTTTGCTCCTATTTGTTCGCGATTTTGCTTGGCGGCATCGCTCCCATGGGGTTTCGATTTGCAGAATTAACATTGGCGTCGAAATTGCAAATGGCAATTTCGCGGGTGAATTTTGTTTCGTCAGCCCCCCCCACCAAAAAAAAAAACCCAAGCGTCCTGCGTCTCGGCCTGACGCAGGACGCAGGACGGCCCAAGCGTCTTTCCCAACACAGCCTCACCTCACCGCACGAGCTGCCCTCACCTTCACCAGCGCCTCGTTATCGAGGTCAGAGAGCTCGACGACAATGTGGCCTCGCAGCCCCTCGCGCACGCCAGTGAGCGACAGCACCACCCTCAACGCGCGCGCATCCGCTGCATCGGCGTTCTCCGCCTCTGCCAGCACGATGAGCGAGCGCGCCGTGCTCACTGACACCTTCTTTAGGTCTGCTAGCACCAGGGGGGAACCAGACCTGCCAAACGGGAAGGGGGCACGAGCAAGAGAGAGAGAGAGAGAGGAATGCCACGATGGGGAGTGCGCCGTTTTCAGTGACGCCTTGTTCAAGTCGGCTAGGAGTAGGGGGAGGCAGGCAGACCTGTTGGAGAGGGGATGCGAAAAAAGGGGACGACGAGGGGCACAAGGCAAGAGTGGGCAGCACGATGAAGGAGCGCGCCGTGCCGTGCCGTGCTCTCTGATGCCGTGCTGCCCCGGCTTGCACAGATCAGCAGTGTTGGTGTTCTCTGCTGCTGCAAGCCCACCTGCAGACATGGTATGGATGGTACACATATGCGTTGGAAGAGGGCGCACCTGCAGATGACGGAGGTGCGTTTGAGCGCACCTGCAGATGACGGAGGTGCGTTTGAGCCCACCTGCAGATGACGGAGGTGCGTTTGAGCGCACCTGCAGATGACGGAGGTGCGTTTGAGCGCACCTGCAGATGACGGAGGTGCGTTTGAGCGCACCTGCAGATGACGGAGGTGCCTTTGAGCGCACCTGCAGATGACGGAGGTGCCTCGGAAGGCAAACTCCATCTTGGCGATTTCACTCTCCATCTCCTCCTTGTCGCGCTCCGCCATCACCACCACCACCCCGCCCCCCATGCTCTCATTCGCCACCGCCAGCTGCTTCAGCAGCGACGCCTGATAAGGTGAGCATGGGGCGAGAGGGGAAGACGGGAGGGTGGGGATGGGATAGAGAGAGAGAAAAACCGGAATAGAAACGAATTACCACCACGCCGCGGCCCCTCGTGCTCTCATTCGCCAAGGCATGACACGCACGTCATTTGAAGTATAAGACACGCATGCTTCATTAGCCAACGCATGGCCTAAGTGAATCTCCAGGAAGGTCTTCTGTCGACCCCATGCGTTGGAGCGGAGAGCTCACGAGCTTGTCGCTCACGGGCCCCACCCAATCCCCATCCACATCCCCTTTGACTCACGAGCTTGTCCCATCCCCATCCTCCCAATCCCCCCCACCCCATGCGTTGGTTGTGGCTGACTCACGAGCTTGTCGCTCCAGCCGAGGATGAGTGTGTGATTGCGTTCGATGACGTCGCTCTTGCCCTTGCGCAGCGAGTCCACCTTCTCCGAGATGCCCTCCGACACCAGCCCCACCATCAGCGCAAACACCAGCATGCCGCCGATGCTCACAGCCACCGCCACCACGCGCGGCCCCACGCCCTCGCTGTCCGCGTGGTTACCAGCGTCTGCCACGTACGTCCACGCCCGCCACGTGGCGTCCGCCAGCACCAGACGCTCCTCGCCACTCACTGCGTACAGCGCCAGCCCGCCCACCGCGATGCTGCACGCGGCGGGATTGGGCAGCGTGACGGGTGGGCGGAAGAAAGGGAGATGAGGGGAGTTGGAAGGGATGAGTTAAGGGGACTGCGGAGGAGGCAGAGGGGGGGCTGTGCAGCCACGAGTTGGGCTGAATGAAATGCATAGCACGATTGGCAGGCACGCTGCATGGAAAGCGGGGCGGAGAGGTGAGAGCACGAGAGGCCGAGAGAGGCCGAGAGAGGCGGAGAGAGGCGGAGAGAGGCGGAGAGAGGGAACTGACAGCACGAGAGTGGCGGTGAGCAGCGCGAGGCTCTTGACATAGGAGTGCGTGGAGAAGAGCACATCCACTCGGTACGCCAGCCGCTTGCTGAACGGCGCTGCTGCCACCTCCTCCCCCTGCCCATGCGCCCCCTGCCCATGCGCCCCCTGTCCATGCGCCCCCTGCGCCCCCCCTTGCCGGGTGCCATGGGCTACGCCTGGGCTGCTCACACCGCCTCCCGCTGCCCCTTGCACAGCCGCCGCTGCCGCTCCGCCTCTCCTGTGCTGCTGTGCTGCGGTGTGGTGCGGTGACAAGTGGCTCAGTGCGGGGGTGATGGGTGTTTGGTCGGTTTTGGGGGGGTCGAGGTGGAGGAAGGCTGCGACCCGATCCATGTGCTTTGCCAGCACTAGGGGGAGGAGGATGCAGAGCAGAGAGGTGAATAGAGCCAAACGACGCCACACCACTTCGTCACCCTCCGTGTCGCCTCTACCACCTTCCCCTTCCTCCTCCTCCACCTCTCTCTCCTCTTCCTCCCCTCGCTCCCTTCCCCTGCCGCTGTCTCCCACCCTCGCACGCCTTCCATGTCTTTCCTTCTCCTCCTCTCCTACCACCTTTCCTTCTTCGCCTCTGATTGGCTGCAGCAAGATGCCAGCTGTCGCAGCCCGCCCCCCGGTGGGCAGCATGGCCATATCCGCCCACCACGCCGGCCCACTCTCAAACCCTGCAGCACCACTGCCGCTGACACTGGTGCTACTGCCGGTGGTGCTACTGGCAGTGTCCCCCCAGGCACCGGATTGCAGGCGCTGTGTGATGCGCTGCTGCCTCTCTATCAGCACTCGCAGGTGGAACTGGGTTGGTGAGGAGGGGGTGGGGGGAGGGGGGTGTTGGGGTGAGGTTGGTAGAGGAGAGAGTGGTGGGTGGTGCGGGGTGAGGAGTGGTGATGCGGTTCTGCCTCTTAATGAGCACTCGCAGGTGGAACTGGTGGGGGGGAAGGCGAAGTGGGTGGTGGGTGGTCGGAATGGGAGCCGGGTGGAGGCAAAAGCGCCAAGAAGGGGAGTGAAAGAGAGTGAGAGGTAAAAAGAGGTCGACAATGCACTGCAGTGCACCACACCGCACTGCACTGCAATGAATCTGCTCTGAAAAGGGTGCACGCGTGAGTAAGGATAGAGAGCTGACCTGTAGGGCATCAGCCCGCGAGCGCTCGTGGATGCACCAGGCAAAGAGAGCCACGGCCGCCGTGATGGCCTGCACACGCATGCACAGCACAGCACAGCACCGCACAGCACCGCACAGCACCGCACAGCACAGCACAGCACAGCACAGCACCGCACAGCACAGCACAGCACCGCACAGCATAGCACAGCACAGCACAGCACAGCACAGCACAGCACAGCACAGCACCGCACAGCACAGCACAGCACAGCACAGCACAGCACAGCACAGCACAGCACAGCACAGCACACAAGGGCGCGCAGATAGACACGGGCAGGGCAGTATGATGAGGGGAGGGTGGGGTGAAAAGATCTCCGATGGTACACGGGACGGGAGGGGGACGAGCGGGCCTGGTATGGTAAGGGGAGTGTGTGAGGAGGGATAAAGGAGCAGGGATTGGAGGGCTGGTGAAGTGAGCATACAGGAGGCCGCGCACTGAGAAGCACAGAGCATATGGCAGGGAGGTTTGGACTTACGAGGATGGAGAGAATCCAGAGAGTGCAACGCTGCAAGCACGGCTTGCGGTTGGAGTAGGCATGGAAGGGCGGGTACCCCCCAGGCCCACCAGGCCACCCGGAGAAGGGCCGCTGCTGTTGCCACTCCGACAAGCCACCCGCCCCTCCCATCCCTCCCCCCATGCCCATGCCCATGCCCATGCCCGTGCCTCTGTCTGCCCCCATGCCCATGCCTCGCCTCCCTCCTTCCCATTCCCTCTCTCTCCCTCGTCCTCCTCCTCCCCATCCTCCTCTTCCCCTGTCTGCCCCCCTCCCCCCCCACCTCCCGCCATCCCATTTTCCCTCTGCTGCTCCTCCCCACCAACCCCCTGATCCTTCTCTTCCCGCGGCCCCTTCCCCTCCCCATGCTCCCCCTTCCCCCCATGGTCCTTCCCCCCACCCCTCTCGTCCCCACCGCCCTCTTCCCCACTCCCCCTCTTCCCACTCCCCTCCTCCCCTTCTTCTCTCCCCCCATCCTCCCCGCCCCCCACTGCTCGCGCGTCCCCCATCAGGCTCTCCCCCATCCCCCCACTCTCCCCTTCCCCCTTCCCCAGCTTGCCTTCCCCAACCCCCACCCTGCCCATTCCCTCGCTCATGGCCCCGCCCATTCCCTCGCCCCCCCCAGTCCTCCCCCCCATGCCCATTCGAGTGCCCCCGCGGCCGCCCATCGCCCTGCTCTCCACCCACGCCGTTTGAAGCACCTCCCATATAAGCACCGCCGAAGGTATCAGAGGAACCCCTTACACCACCACCACCACCGCCGCCGCCGCCAGTTGCTGCACCAACAGAAGCGACAGGGGCAGCAGTGGCAGTGGTAGCAGCAGTAACGCCAGCAGCAGCGCCAGTTTTGGCAGCAGAAGCAGCAGCCTCTCGGCCTAGCCTAGACGCCTCGCCACCTGCCCCAGAACCATATGCACCTACCCCAGATGAGCCTCTCTGCGGTTCTTGCCTTGTACCCGTCTTTTCCTGTAGTGCTGCTGACGTGGAGGAAGGGACGGACGAGATCAGCTCCGAAGCTGACATGGATGGCCCAATCCGCGGCCGAGGCATTCCCACCCTACCACCCGCACCTGTTACTGGGCCGGCCTTGGCACCGAAGCTAAACGCCCGGGCAAACGACTTGGCCGAACCTAAGAGGCTGCCTCCCAACCCCATTGCTTGTGCTGGGGGGGAGGGGACACATGGGGGGGATGGTGGGGATGGGGGAGATGCCAGGCTTGCAGCAGCATTCGCACTAACGCCCGTTTTGATTGGCCGCAGATTCGACGGGGTCGCCAGCTCCAGTTCCCCAGCCAATCGGCTTCCACTGTTTGCGGCGCCTTTCACTGATTGGTCCATAGGTTCCCCTCGGTCTCCATTCCGTGCCCCCCCGTCGCCTCCCTTTTCCGATCCTTTCCTCCCCCCCGCACACTCGCTTTCCCCCTCTCCCTCTCCTCTCCGCCCTCCTGCCTTGCCTTCCGGCGCCCGCGCCCCGTTCCCCGCCTCTTCCCCTCCCCCAGAGCGCTGCTGCACGCGACCCTCCGCGGAGGACGAGCGCGGAACGGCTCCGCCTCCTTCCAGCGCGCGCCGCAGGCACGCGGAGCAGGGCATCCCCCAGCCAGGGGCGGCATGCGGGCAGGGGGCAGCTGCCACCGCGGCGGCTGAAGGCTCGGCGCGGGTTCGCGCGGGCAACCGCTCATCATCTCCGCGCGAGGAGAAGGAATGCGAGGAGGAAAGGAGCGGTGCGGCAATGGCAGTCGCGGAGCGGGCGTTGGCGGAAGCGGATTTCCCCACCGCAGGCACCGCGGTGGCTGCGCCGCTGGCGGAAGCGCCGGGTGTGCCTGTAACGAGCGGCGGCGACGAGGACGCGTTAGAAGAACGGTTCCTACGCAGCGTGGGAACGAGCGGCGTGCGCGAGGAAAAGGAAAGATTCCCGCGGTCCGACGTGGTGCTGTGCTCGGGGACGGACGAATGGAATAACGACCGCGGGTCGGGTGACGTGGCAGCAGAGGACGACGCCCATTGGACCATGAAGCGCATGTCGCGGCCATTCATCGACGTGCTTCGCGACCACAGAACTTGCGGCTTCCCGCCGCCGCCGCCGCCGCCGCCGCCGCCCAAGTCGCGAGGATTGCTGTTGAATCCTGTGTGGTTCTTCAGAAGCTGCTGCAAAGGAGGTTCCACGTCAGACCCGCCGTCATCCACGGTCGCGCGAAGGAAGGCGTCTCGTCGCCGCATTGCACGGCACGTATCGAGTTGCGGTGTGAAAGGCTGTTGTGCGCGCACTACAGAGAGATAGACTTTTATATCGGGTCTCACAGCCGGTCCTCAATATCGCTCCACATAGCAAGAGGACCGGCATGACCTACGTGGCAACGAGGGGATTGCATGGTGCCCTACCCTGTGCTCTGACCGACTAGCGGACAAGGGCGAACGAAACTAGTACACGTCTGAGTCGAAGTCCTCGACTCCTCTAACACTACCTAGGGTATCTAAAAATGCTCGTCCGACGCTTCACTAACTAGTTAGTTTCAGACTGACCAAAGGAGCCTCGTGTCTAGGTTTCCAGCGAGGCAGACTGTCGAACTCTGATCATTAACTACACCTGTTTTTCGATATCCTCTCTCTACGAATCACGTACAAGGGCGTTGTCTGTTCTAAGAGCTGTAAAGTTATGAGAAACCAGGTAGTTGCGCTTAATTTCGCCCGTTTTTTCATTTCAGACTCACATGTTCGAGTTATACATGTAAATTTGCTACACGCGAACCATTTTCTCGTATCGATTACCGTTTTGCCGAGTTGAAGTGTGTACGTACGGTATACACTACGGTTGAAATTATCAGTTACCAGTTTGGAGTTCGAAATGCACTGTTCATTACCACTCAAGCAATAATGTTGACCATGTAGGAAACAATGGTTACCACCAGGGCAATCACACAATACGATTGTTACGATTTGTACACGTGGCTTACCTCGGGTGCGATCGACCTCTATGAGTGTTACCGCTAAGATAATGTCATTTAACAAGCACATCCTCATCGGGGAGAAAAAAACCACCCCAATCGGGAGGCAAAAGGCGGCCAAGCAGCTACGTGACACCAGGCTCGGGATCTGATAAAAAAAGATAAGGAGGGGAGAGGTGTGCTAAAGGATCTGACCACCTTGGAGAGGGAGTTGAGGGGGAAAGAAGCTGCAAAATTGGCGCTCAAGGCTTTTGCTGCAGCACCAGAACCATGGAGAGAGGTGCTTCTTTCAGCCGAGCCACCTCAGGTGGGGTTTGCGGAGGTGTACGAGGCTGGCAGGATGGGCTCAAAACAGTTGCGCGCATAACTCCTAGTAAATGGGGAAGCTGCGTCGCTGAAAGAAATCAGGTCCCGCTGGGGGCATGGTAGCAGTGGACAATCCAGGCGGAGCAAATGGGAGAGCAGATGGAGTGGTCGCATTGACTGGAAGTGGGCAGTTCAAACTTGGGAACCACTCGTCACTCCCAGCAGACCAAGGGTCGTCCTGCTGAGATACACAGCCTAAACCTACAAGTCGGGGAGAGGATCACATTTCTCAGTAACAGACCGGTGTGCCCCTACTGTTATAATTTCGAGACGTTGGAACACTACTTTTTTTGAGTGCCCAAGGATTCAAACGGTGGTCGTGGCGGTGGAAAAAGGCCCTGCGCATGATTAGCCCTACCAGGCGGATGGAGTCGCTTGGTGATTGGTTATTTGGGAAGGCAGAGTCCACGTCAGAATTCCCGGAGGCAACTCTGATAGCCATCGCCTGACATCAACTGTGGGTAGAGCGGTGTGAAGGCGCTTTTTGTGGCTGCAAATTCCGCGCAAGGCGGGTGTTGAGGAGGATTGAAACGGCTTTGCGCATGCATGCGAACATCTACGTGCGGTGTCAGAAATAACTGAGCAGGAATGAATTGAACTAGCACAGAGTTTGGTACAAGTAGGAAACCCTAACTTTGTGTACCCCCTAAGGTGTAACCCACTACAGCCTACACAATATAAACATACAATGTTTGACACACCCCCATAGGCGCAGTGGGAGACAACCACAGGGTCATGAGACCAGTCAAAGCAAAGCAAAGCAAGCTCAGGGTGGATCTCAAGGATACCACACAAATTCTGAGCACAAGCAAGTGGTCACAAGACCAGTTCACATGCAGTTTGATAATATAGCAAGAGATACAGTGATTACAAACTAGCAAGTGTAAACATGCAGGTATATATATATATAGAGATCACAGTACAAACAGAGTCAAGAAGAAAGCAAGTGTGGACCAGTAGGCACAAGGCCTAGAAGAGTACAGAAGCGCTGATGGTCACAAGGCTGAAGAGCCTTGGTGAACACATCAGCAGTGTTGGCCTCAGTGGCCACGTAACGTAGACGAAGCTGACCGCGCTGCTGCAGCTCTCGAGCAAGGAAGTACCGCAGGGCGATGTGCTTCGTTCTGTGCTCCGGTCTGTGCTCCTCACACAAGGCAATGGCAGCCTTGTTGTCGACGTACAGCATTGGAGGAGAACGAGGCCGCTCTCCCAAGTCGGTCAGCAGGTAGGTCAGCCAGCGTAGCTCCTGGGCCGCCATGGCTGTGGCGTAGATCTCAGCCTCACAACTGGAGCTGAGAACAGAAGAAGAGCGTGTAGAGCGCCAAGAAACTGAGCCAGAGCCAAGGCTGAAGGTGTAACCCTGAGACGACCGTTGATTAGCCTGGTCGTCCGCCCAAGAAGCGTCTGAGTGTGCAGTAAGTACAACTTGGTCTCGCCCTCCAAGCACTAGCCCCATGCCCGACGTACTACACAAGTAGCGCAACACCCTCTTAGCGGCATCCATGTGCTCCTTCCTGTGACGGCCAGGAGCGACATAGCGTGCAAGGATGCTAAGAGGGTATGCAAGGTCAGGTCGAGTGCAGGTCATCAGGTACATGAGGCAGCCCACAAGCTCTGGATATGGGCCACTCGGCTCTACGGACTCATCCGAAGGCAGAGCTGAGAGCGAGTGACCGGTAGGCAGAGGAGTGGACTGAGGCGAGGAGTACATGAAGCGGAAGCGCTGAAGGATCTGCTGCACCATGTGTGACTGAGTCAAGGTGATGGTGCGCCGTGCTCTGTCCCGAGTGATCCGCAAGCCAAGATAGCTTGTCAGTTCACCCAGGTCTGTGCACGTGTGTCTCTTCTGCAGCTCCGACTTCACGTGGGCGAGTGCCGCAGTGTCAGCAGTGACAAAGACCAAGTCGTCGACGTACACGAGGATGTAGAACGGCGGCAGCGAGGTGTCGGTGCGTAGAAACAGCGACGGGTCAGCAGTAGAGGGAGCGAACCCAAGAGCCGCAAGTGTCGTCCTCAGTGTGTCGTACCACTCACGTGGCGCCTGACGGAGACCGTAGACCGGCCGCTGGAGCCTCCACTGGGTACCAGGAGGAACCGACCCAGTGAAGCCAGGAGGGCGACGCAGCCAGATCTCCTCGTGCAGGCTGCCCTGTAAGAAAGCAGTGCTGAAGTCAAGTGAGTGAAGCTCATAGTCGCGCTGAGCGGCAACGTGCAGCAGCACCCGAAGAGTGGTCATCTTCGGGGTGGGGGAGAAGGTCTGGAAGAAGTCTACTCCCTCTCGCTGACTGAAGCCTCGAGCAACGTAGCGCGCCTTGAAGACAGGAGGAGAACCCGGCGGCCGCTTCACCCTGAAAATCCACATGCCACTGACGATGTTCGCCCCAGGTGGGGGAACCTCGTCGACGTAGGTGCCTGTGGACTTCCAGGACGCCATCTCTGCGTCCATGGCTGTCTGCCACTGAGAGGAGTAGGGACCCGCCATCGCCTCAGCGTAAGAGCGCGGGGTCGGGATGTCTGGTGCATCTGGGTCTCCCTCAGGGGCAACTAGCATGGACACGAGATGGGGCAAAGCAGCAGCAAAGCACTGGAACTCCTCCTGTCTGTCCTCAAGGACGTCCGTGCCAAGAGCACACTCACCCCCGACGGACGGAGGACAGACAGACTCAGACTCAGCAACAAGGCTAGCGGCGTAGTCTAGACGACACCGGGCAGCAAAGTCAACCAACTCAGCGACCAGAGCAGACGCAGCAGAGGACTCAAAGGTAGGGTCAGTGACAACAGTGGCGAGGAGACGTGTGACAGTGGGACTGGCAGCACGACGGGAGTCAGACTCCGGGTCAGGAAGAGTAGGTAGAGAGGACGCAGGAGGAGACGGCAGAGGGACACGCTGAGGAGCAGTGGAGGGACGCAGAGTCATGTAGTGAGTGCCAAGGACAGGAGGAGGACGCTCACGTGGGACACGACGACCAGTGCGAGCAGTACAAACAGGCGACGCAGGACGAGACTCAGGCTCACGACGCTCCGTAAGACCTCCTGTCGGACCAGTGTAAGGGGAGGGACCAGGGAGAGGCGAGGCAGGCGGTAACTGGGACTGCGACTGGACAGGCGGAGGACACTCTAAGGAGGAAGGAGGACAAGAAAGAGGAGTCTGACCAAGGAGCGGCACGAAGTAAGGTCGCGGCCGCGCAGCGTCTCCAGAACCAGTAGAGACACCAGCGTCAGGGTCCTCAGTACCAGCAGCAGCTCCAACGTCCGGGTCCCCAGCACCAGCAGCAGCTCCACCGCCCAGGTCCTCAGCACCAGCAGCAGCTCCACCGTCCGGGTCCCCAGCACCAGCAGCAGCTCCAACGCCCGGCTCCTCAGCACCAGCAGCAGCTCCAACGCCCGGGTCCTCAGCACCAGCAGCAGCTCCAACGCCCGGCTCCTCAGCACCAGTAGCACCTGCAGTACCAGGGTCCGCAACACCAGGAGCGCCACTCCGAAGACTGCAGCGTCGCGTGTACCACTCTCGGATCCGCTGAAGGGAGGGGAGCTCCCGGTGTCAGAATCCCAGCCACTAACCACTGGGATAAAAGGGCTTGTTTGTGTAGCGGGTGAGTGCGCCCATAACCCCCCAGGCCGCCATGCCTGTAACCCTTCCCTAGGATCAATCGGGGATCACCAGTGGACCTCTGACACCCGGGTAGGAGGGGAAGCACTGGTACCAGCTCC